AGAAAGAAACGAAAGAGCTACACCGTCTTGAAATACACTCCGAGGGGAAGAAGGCGTCTCGTGCCAGGGGAGAATCTGTGAATTATTCAAAGCACAAGATTGGTCCGCAAACATGTTGTCATCAATCACCAAAACTACCTTGAGAGAGATATGTCGTAACAGGGACACATGCTCAAAATTTACTGACGGTTATAAGTGTGGCACTATTCCCGGAAGGCGTAACGTGGGCATGTACGCCTTCTCGGTCGTGTACGTGGCGTTTGCACCATAGGGTGCACCGCAATAGGCAATGTCAGCACACATCTTGTTCCAACAACCGTGGGCGCTCGTTATTACCATCACGCATGCTTCTTTTAATTAGAATGTGTGTGCCCGTCTAGCGCACACACGTTGATCTATCTAACTATTTCAGTTTGTTGCGGCTAATTGCAAATAGTTCATCCGTGTGAAGTGTATGCCATCAATTAGAGACACTTTGATTTGGCTGACCCGTTTCTGTTTTGTTGTCTAATCACAAACAGTTAATCCTTCTGAAGTGTATGCCCTCAATTGCACACACCTTTATCTAGCTGCCCGTTTCTATTGTTCCTCCTCATCACAAATAGTTCATCCGAGTGAATCGTATGTTTTATATCGCACACGCCTTCATCTAGCTGCCCGTTTCTTTTGTTCCGCCTCATTGCAAACAGTTCATTGAACTGAACCGTATGCCCTGCATCGCACACGCAAGTAAAATCTGGACAGTGTTTGATGGCTCCGCCATCGCAAACATTTTGCACCTTTTTTGATGGTTCTTTTACACCACCGTTTGCGATTATTGCATCACACACAGTTTTGTCGAAGGGTCTCTGATCATAGTGTCGCGTTAGCAGCATCCTGTAGTAGTGCAAGTTGTCAGTTTCCTGAGATGCTTTTCGTGCCTGGAGAAGCTATATATCGAGGTGATGTTCCTTTCCTGTTAAATGTTAACCATAAGGGAGTTCAATTTCTGACACTTTTTCCAAGTTTACAATGACAATGTACTACGATTTCTGAAGGATTCTTTTGGAGGATTTTAGTACATACATGCCCCCCCCCCATATTGGTTGCTTGATCCATATGGTTACAATCCATAAGCATTTCTCCTTTGGATTCATCTGTACTAGTTTTCTTAGGGAACTTTTCATCCACTCCAACCTCTTGTGAAGAAGGCTACATTTTTTCTAGAATGTAATCAAATTCCCATGTCAATCATGTCAGATCAAAGATGGCATGTTAGTGAATTTTAGAAATCCTGTAAACCAAATAGGCATGTAGCCATGTTCAAAATTGTTGTAGGCACTAACATGTTTTCTTCCTTTGCAGATAAGATTAGACCCAGTGGTGGATAATATGATACAATATAACAATCATGTTGAATGCCTAGATCTGCATCTCTCAGAAATTACTTTGAACTCTTACCGAGGGACCTTACCGGAGATTATATTCGCCAGGTTCTTTGTTTTCAGAGCAAAGATGCTGATGGTAACAAGGTTTGCCCTACATTTATTTCACAAAAATGAATGGTTTGTCGATCAGCGCCGGCGCCTGCGGCAGAATGGAATAGGCTCCGAAAATGCTGAATTTCATTTTGGAACTTCAGATGACAGAGTAATCAGAAGTCATCGTGTCAACCCCATACATGACTTCTCAGTGGCTGACCCCTTTGCAAAAATGTTGAGGTTTCGAAACCAGACTTAGAAGTGGTAATAGTAGTTTGAACCACTCTGATATCCATGTTCAGCGGATTAGCACGAGCGTTTGCAGCTGATGAGCCGAATTTCATTTCTAATATCAGTTTGAACCTTGTAATCTTTGAATTTGAGCCATATAACTCTGGAATTTGAACCTTGTAATATTTCGAGCTTTTGTGGCACAATCGTTGAAATGGCATCATATGGGACTCGTATATTGGTAGCACTATTTTGACCTTAATATGCAATGGTCTTACATTTTATTAACCATTCTCGAATCAGTTTACCTTGTCGGTCTCACAGCACACGATCTGTATAGCTAACTCGACTGCGGTCTTCGACATTATTACACATAGTTGGTTTCTTCAACCGTGTGCCCTGTAGAGCGTAGAATTAATTATCGCACTCGAGTGTCCATCATCACCTTTCTGTGTAACTTTGACCTCATCACACACGGGTAAACTTATGACCGAAGTCATTCCACACACTTTGTTTTTACAAAACTTTTTGCCAATAAACGCCCATGATTTGTCCCTCTTCTAGCCGACGCGTGGCCAAACTAGCCGGGCAGGAAGCTTGCACGGTAGCGCGGGAACAGGCTCACCGACGATACATTTGGCGCCTCTTCGAGCCCACGCGTGGTCAAACGAAATGCGTGCAGTGCGGTGTTGTCAAGCGTGCACTGGAATCCTCCGCTATGAACATCGTGACAAGACGTGATGATTACAGGCCGACCGGCCCCCATTTATTACAGCGGCCATTTAACCCTTGTGTCTCTTCAACCTTTCGATCGCACCCCACCATTGCAAGAAGCACACCCACCACGACAAATTCTTAGAGGGTATCCTGCGCGGCTCCAATGGCGCTCCGAGCGGCTACCGACGACAAGCAGCAGTTCACCATGCATGTAGTGGTGACACCCACAGAAGGTTCACGAACCTCTCGGTGGTGTACACCAACGACATGGTCTGGATGGAGCACTCCATCCACATCATGGATTGTTGCTTGCCGAGGAGAAGTATAAGGTGGTCGGGTTCGACCTCGAGTACACCCGCGCTCGTGTCGGGTCTCATCCCAAGGTCGTCTTCGCCCAGATGTGCATGCGCCACCACGTCCTCGTCTACCACTACTGCCTGGCCACAAGGCCTTGCAAGCATTTCGCCAGTTTGTCAACATCCCTCACTACATGTTCGCTACGGTGGACATCACCAACGATGTAAAGGTGCTCAAGAATTCAGGCATCGCCTGCCAGAATCTTGTCAACATCCAGGGCCAATACAAGATCTGGGACAGCAAGGAGCATGAGAAGGACTCACTGGTTCACCTCGCCGAGGCCATCATCGACCCTTACTACATAGACATGAAGGATTCCTGCAACAAGGACAGGCGTGCCTGGCACTCGGCCTCGATGGAGATACTCGACAAAGCTCACGTCGTGTACACTGCCAAGGAGGCGTACACGAGCTATGACATGTACAGGCGGATCATTGACATGAGGAAGTGCCTCCTTTCCCAAAAAGGCCAGGGATCCAGCCGGAGGCAGAGCAATGGCAAGCATCATCGCAACAATAAGTAGATGATTAGATCCTCGTTTCTCCTAGTTTAGTATGCATGTAATTGCTTACTTTGGTATGTGGAAATGTTATGTGTGTAGTTACTTGTGTAATTGTATGCTTAATTTGGTTTTGCAATGCTGTCTTTTTAAGTATATATGTTGATACTCTATAGACAGAGCAAATCACATCGCACACAGACTAAACAATGGAACCCATCGGTGATGATTTCATCAATCACTGACAACTGTATACCAGCAATCGTTTGCTGACAACGCACATGACTTGTTAACAGGAATCGTCTGTGTTGTTATTGGTCTTTCCACACGTTTCTGATTGCAGACCTGTTTGTCGCATATCACACACGTCTTGTTAAGTTGAATTGTTTCTGTTCTCTTGGCTAAACGCAAACAGTTCATCCGAGTGAACCGTATGCCGTATATCGCACACACCTTGATCTGGCTGAACGTTTCTTTTGTGTTGCCTAATCACAAACAGTTCATCCGAGTGAACCATATGTTGTATATCGCACACACCTTCATCTGGTTGCCCGTTTCTTTTGTTCCTCCTCATTGCAAATAGTTAATTGGATTGAACCGTATGCCCTGCATCGCACACGCAACTAAAATCTAAATTGTGTTTGATGCATCCGTCATCGCAAACATTTTCACCTTTTTTGACAGGTTTTTACACCACCGTTTGTGACTGTTGCACCGCACACAGTTTTGTCGAAGGGTCTCTGATCGTAGTGTCGCGTTAGCAGCATCCTGCAGTAGTGATAATTAATTTATGGAGGGTAAATTAAGAATCGCCATGGTTGTATTGTAATAGTGGTGCAAAATTTGATACTCAAGTGAAGAACTTGAATAATGTAGATCTCAATTGATTGAACATAACACGTCGAAGATCGCATGGATATCACATTAGTAGGCTACATAATCTGACAATGTTAGTAGATGCGCTCGTTTCTATTACCTTGTTATCAATTTAAATATAAGGAAGTGCACATTCAAGGTAATCATTTGTCGAATTGACAAAACATAGACCGTGATTCCAAATATAATGAGGGAGGTGTATATCAAAATTTTGCAAGATTGTTGTGCAAGAGAAATTAATCTCAATCGTTGGAACATGTTCTAGAAAATTGGTATGTGGTAAACACATTGGACATGTCATTTCCAGATAATGTCTAGTACTTTATTTTACATTATCAAATACATTATATAATGTAAACATATGCCTACAAATATTTACACAAGTCCTAAAAATAGATTAAATGTAAATACCAGACTAGGATGTAAATAACAACATGCACATAGGCTAAGCAGTACTAAACAGTGAGAAAATACTACTGAAACTACTGTTACAAGAATTATACAGGAGAAAATCCGGAGAGAGAAAAACTTTCTATGAAATCGGCCCATAGCCAGGGGTGATCTAGGCCAGACCCACGGCCCGACTGGAGAGGGGGCGGTCGGTGGCCTTTTAACCAGGCGGATAGGTATCGAGTGATCCCCAATCATCCTGACCAAACCCACGCCTCTTTCTCAAAAAAAAAAAAAGACCAAACCCACGCCTGGGTGCCGCCGCCGCATACGCTGCTGCTCACAGGTGACTTGCTGGCACGCCTCCATCTTCCTCGGATGAGGAGACGTCGATGGCGCCGGCAGCGGCGCCATTGGGTAGATCAGGGGCGAGACCGGAGCGACGACTAGGGCGGCGGTCGATGGCGGCAATGGCGCGACCGAAGAGGCAGCGGCGTCCCTCCATGCTTGCGGAGTCCTGGAGGCACGGTCGGGTGACCGTGCGTGGGGTGACAGTGTGCGGGGATGGCGGTGCCTCATCCGGCACGGAGGTGGAGGGTCGCGGAGGCTCGGTGGCGCTGCGACCCGGGCCAACGTCTTCATCTCCAGGCTACGCGACCAGCGTCGGGCCAGCGGCTTGGGTCATCCCTCCGGCACCGTTTCGAAACAACACGAAGATGAAGAAGCCGGGCTCGTCAGCCGGCGATGGAGGGGAATCCGCGCTGGAGCCGCGAGCTGGGGCTGGCCATCGTTGGGGCATGGCGGCATGGTGGCCAAGTCCAGCTCCTCGGCGTCCAGATCGGCGGAGGCGGTGTTACAGCCTGGCAAAGTCGACGGTGTTCGCCTACTCCATGATGGCCACAGGCTGAGCAACGACGGCGGCGGCCGTCCTCACGGATGAGGCGAAGGAAGAAAGAGGTGAGGCCAGGTATCTCACTGTCGGCGAGGCTCCCGGCAGAGCGTGGTGATAACGTGTTTGAGTGAAAAAATCAACTTATATTGAATGATAGAAAAAGTACAATTTATATGCGACTGGAAGCGTCGAACAGGCAGTCATATCCTAGGTTGGTTGCTAATTATAGGGATGCAGCGGTTTGAAAGAGAGACACCTATGCAACCGCACAGTGTTTGAAGTAGATTCTCTATTAATTAAACATAATTAATTAATTCAAACAGTTCTCATATTGAGTTGGACTAAAATAATCATTTATGTTGTGTCATTTTTCAAACACTCAAAATAAATTTCAGGTTCTCAGGACTGAGAGTATTCCAACCGTTCACGTGACGTGTAAGTCAACGCCACGCCAGCACAAGTACAAGGACTGTAGGTGAATTTTTCTGTTTCAAACCATCCATATTCTTAGAACCTGCAAAGTTCTACCTTGAGTCTGAACTAGTGGCTGGGGCGCCACCTGGTGGCGCCTCTTAAGGTGTTATTGTGTGCACTTATCAAGCTTCCGTAGTTGTTAACGCATTAATAGTGCAGACAATCGACGATCGATAAAAATATAACACCACTTTTTGTAAGCACTAATCAAACATTTGTTGGTCTCTTTTAAATCACATTCATACACTAATGTTGGTCTCTTTTAAATCACATTCATACACCTCTTATCAAGAGACCAACAAATTATTCACTGACAAACCAGAAAGTGTCATTCATGTACATCAGGAAAGAACATTCATAATTAAGATAGCACTCCCATTAAGATCAGTCAACTGATATGAACCTAAAAATTCAATGTACGAATTTGACGGCTGCCAAGCCACTTTCCTGAACAAGAAAAGCAAACATACATTATCATCACATCAAGCTGGTTTTTTAACTCCAGAATTAGATATACATAGCAACAAGCAAAAGAGAGTGCACCATCAATTCATTAATGGCAGTTTGTGCATTGTGTGAATAAATAACAAACGAAGATGATAAATAGCAGTTCAAATAAACTCAAAACTTAGTTCTGAGTACAAACTAATGTTTTAAGTTGCCATGGTAACGCTACCTGCTGATTCTTAAAAGAAACAAAACTGAACCCTCTGGATCTACAGTCTTCTGAACCCACATAATTCTAGCATCTCTGTAGAAGTTACCAAGCTAAAGTGGTAAGGCAAAATATATTGTAAAAATGGGATGGTGCAGTGTGTGATAGGTTGGCGTCTTTTCAGTTCCCTTTTTCAATCTAAGTTAACACGGGAAAATGGATAGCTATGTAATATCACTGGAAGAAGTTTGTTGCTGCTTCTTAAAAAAGATAGATACAACAAAAGTAGAGTGCACATTCATGAAATGCATCTCGTGTAGGAGAAAAAAACGGGAGCATAATTGTAGAATGAAGTAAATGGAGATAACAAAAAGAGTACAAAAAATTAGGTACAACAATAAGCTGCACATTGAGATCTACTCCTACAAAAAAAATGGCAATCAACGATATCATATGAAAAAATAGCACGAATAACTCCTAGGAAGCTCTAACTGAGCAATATGATTTACACATCTGAGATCCCCTTACACTCCTTTTACTTTTGGTGGTACTAACTTCCTGGTTCACTTCTAACATTTTAGCCATTGAAATATGATTCTGCACATTTTCACCATCTTGTACTTCAACAATGGTAGCTATCACACTACATAGAGATGAGATGTTAATGAAAACCATCTATATGTCAAGGAAGCAAGCGAACAACATTTAGTACAATCAGGCACACCTTAGATAGTTAGATATATCAACTCTTTATCAAGAATGTCTGACAAACTTTGTACTTCATTGTACAGATCATGCATTTGCTCATCCAAATGGCTGTCGTCACCACCATGATCTGCCAAATAAGAATGCCTGATATAAATTTGGGTAAGGATATAATATAACAGCTATGAGAAAGAAATCTCTAGAAATAAATAAATAATACCATGAATAGGGATATTAATAATTATTGTGAAATGTTAGTATCAAGACTTGTACAACAAAGGTACGTAGCACATTCATAAAATACGCCAGACATGAGCATCATAGCACGAGAGAAAAGACAAGCAAGGAGCCGAAAGGCTTAGGTGGCAAATGGTAAAACCAAGGTTGGGCCTTGCTGGAGGAGTTTTATTCAAGGCGAACTGTCAAGGGGTTCCCATTATAACCCAACCGCGTAAGGAACGCAAAATCAAGGAATATAACACCGGTATGACGGAAACTAGGGCGGCAAGAGTGGAACAAAACACCAGGCATAAGGCCGAGCCTTCCACCCTTTACCAAGTATATAGGTGCATTAAAGTAAACAAGATATAATAATGATATCCCAAAAATAAACATGTTCCAACAAGGAACAAACTCCAATCTTCACCTGCAACTAGCAACGCTATAAGAGGGGCTGAGCAAAGCGGTAACATAGTCAAACAACGGTTTGCTAGGACAAGGTGGGTTAGAGGTTTGACATGGCAATATGGAAGGCATGATATAGCATGTGGTAGGTATCGCGGCATAGCAATAGAGCGAGCAACTAGCAAGCAAAGATAGAAGTGATTTCGAGGGTATGGTCATCTTGCCTACAAAGTTCTCCGAGTTGACGTAACCTTGATCCTCGTAAGCGTACTCAACGGGTTCCTAGATCATGTACTCGTCTCCCGGCTCTACCCAAGGCAAGAACACAAGCAAAATAAATCACAATCAACCATGGTGCAATGTGCAAGCAACATGATGCAGAACATGGCATGATATGCGGGATGTAATATGCAATGCATATGCGTGCTCCGGAAGGAAAAGATTGAAATATGCCTCAACTTGGCAAACCAAGTGCGCCGCTGGAAAGATGAGTTGATTTCGGTCGAAATTGATATAAATATCACCGGAATCGGATGCACGATTTGCAAATGGCAAGCAAAACAATAATGGCACTATTCTGCGATAAACAGCACGATGCCTCTAAAATGCAACAAGAAACTAAGCTACTGCACTCTAACATAGCAATAAAGCACATGGTAGTGATCTACTCAAGATGCTTGAGAAATGATGAACACTGAGCTACGGCTAAATCACACAATAGCAGGTTCAAACAAGCATGGCAAAAGTGCAAAAGATATCAGCTTCACAGACTTAGTGAAAATAACATGTCAGGAATTAACATCAGGAAGCAAAGTTTAGAGCAAGATAACAACATGCTATAGGGACAGAACATAGCAAACAAAGGCATGGCATGAATCTACTCAAAGCATATAACAAAAGTCCCTTACTGATCATAAGCCAAAAGGGATCAGAAGATATGATGGCACCCATGTAAACATAGCAAATTTCGTTAACAGATTCGGACTTAGCAGAAAACTGGACATGGCAAAAACAGAGTTACGTAGGCATGTTTGCGAGCTCAATGCACTCCACATAAGGCATTGCATGACAAGCTAAGCATACACCCAGCAAGAAGACATGTTCAAGAAGCTAACCATGGCAAGAACCATCTCATAGCATGCAAGGATCAACTACAACAACCTTAGCAAAATTGATTAACACGTAAACAATCTGTCAGGAACATTTTACAACAAAAGTAGAGTAAGATTGAATCATGCTAGGGTACTCCATAAATGCAAATAAGGACATGGATGGATAGAGCATAACCATATGCCCAAATCATCCTTACCGAATATACCCAAAAGAAGCATGGATCACTCTGTATCAACATGAATACATGGCATAAAAATAACAACAGGGAAAAAACTTAGTGAAATTCTAAGTCCCTGAAATCAGCAATATTACGAGAGCTACTTTGCATGCATGTGCTAGTCACCACATTGATCACAAAAATATATGGCATACACCCCTGTGAAGATGGCATGGCACAGCCCAAAACACATGTAGAGATCAAGTCTATAGGAGGCACACAATAATCATGGCAAAAATGACAAATGTTCATAAACTGATAATAAACAGGAACTAACATTTTATAGCACTCTTGCAACAGCAATTTGGGTATCAAGATGAACTCAAACAAGCATGGTGCAATGGAACAAAGTGAAGAGCACAATCAGATCAACATTTTGATATCTCATATGCACAAAACGGACCACCGAGATTGCAGACTTAGTAAAAATACAAGGTCAACCTAGGTTTCAGATCTAGATCCGGGCACGTGGAACGAGGTTCGTCGACGTCGGAGGTCGCCGGAGTTGGAGGAGCTCGCCGGAGCTGCAGATCCGGCCGATGAGGTGCGGAGGAGGAGCCGGAGACTGGAGGAGGCAGGGCAAGGTGCGGGGTCGGCGACCTCACGGCGGCGCGAGCGAAGGAGCAGGCCGGCGAGCCGGGCGGCGAGGTGGCGCGGCGCGGCGCGAGGTGGCGGCTCTTGAAAATAATTCTGTAATTAGGGGAAATCTCCCCTTGCCCAAACTGTCGTTGCGGTTTGTCCCGCAACCGACGTCTCCCTTCGATCTCCTGGAACCGACGCCTCCTCGAGGGATCGTCGTGTCTCTCCGGGACATATAAAAGGGGCCTGTAACCATCGATCAATTAAGACAATCATTCTGATTCAAAACACGTTATCATGCACGTAGAACAGCCAGCAAGAGCGAAAGGCAACAAAGAAAGGAGAAGAGAGGAAGCACTCGCCGCCGGTGAGATGACAGGCCTCGTCTCCTTCTTCCTCCGTCTGATCCGCGAGGACGGTCGCCGCTACCGCCTCATTGCCCTTCGCCGCCATGGAGATGGTGGCCATCGCCGTTTTCGTCGCCGGATGCAAGCCATCCGTCGATTCGACCGCAGCGCCGCTGGACGTGGCGCTCCTGGCCGCCACGGCGCCGCTGGACACGCCCCCCGCGGTGCTCCCCTCGCCCCTGGACACAACCACGATGGTGCTCCCTGCGCCCGTGGCCAGGCGCCCATGGGGTTCGACCCCT